AATCCACTCTGATCCACCATCCATTATCTTCCGCTTATCCTCCCTGCTGAAGCCTACCCCAGCTACCATAGGGCAAGAGGGTGAGAGGCAGGGCTAACACATAAAGACACTCACATTAACACCTATGGGCAATTTAGAATTACTAGTTAATCTAATCAAATGTCTTTGGACTGTGGCAGGAAGCTGGAGTACCCAGAGAGAACAACAGTGCTAATCACCGCACCACCTTGCTGCCACCCCAGCAACCAGTGGTTGCAAAATGGTTGCAGACTGGTCTTTAGGGCTGTGTGACTCGGGCCTTATTCACTTGACTTTGCATTGTCACCATGATACAATACATGTAGTGTCCTTTCCTTCCTGTGATGTTATCACGATAAAGGCTAAGTGCTTAAAAAATTGCATTACACAAACTAATGACATTGGCTACATCTCTCTTTTATGCGCAGTTTGCTAAAGCTAATAAGCTAATAACATTACTAATGTCATTAAAAATGCATTAATTATACTGGTAATTTATACCCACCTGGTCTGAGGTGCAGCAGGACAGTCTGAGGCTGGAGCTGGGTCACTACTCTGTGCAGGCGTTTATGTCTTTGTTCTTTAGGATGAAAGGTGATCTTCTGGTTTTTCAGAAGGACAGTGGAACCTCTAGGGTCCTCCAGGTGATCAAAAGGACAGCCCCTCTTTAGCAGGGCTCCGGCTGTGTCGCAGTGCTCCCATATGTGTTGACCCACTTCTAGAAAATTCTTTACACAGGTTTAAGTTAAGTTCAACGCCTTACATCAACACTGACTGTAAAAAGGGCAAAGTCAGTGCTGCAGCTAATGGAAGCAGTACAGAAAGGATGTGAATGTGTGTGTGTGTCTCTGTGTGTTTCTTTTAACTCGAAAAACAAAGCCCTTCATCTTTCAACAACATCATTAAAATGGAACACATATGATGTTCCATATTCAAAATTTGCTTACAGGGTTTTTCTGTTGTTATAAAACACATGCTTACATCACTGTTTAATACAACACAACATGCACACGACAACATATGATGTACTAAATATACAGTGCTGTGCAAATGTTTTGAGCCACCCTCGAATAGTTTATATTTTTGCTTCCAAGGAGTCAGACATTCATGCAGTTTTTTTTAAAAGGCGTCTTGAGCTATAATTTTTCAGACTTTCTGAAGGTCTTGCTAAGTTTTCCTTTGGACAGTGGCTCCTTTTTCACTCATTTTCAGTTCAGTCCTTGTATCTGACCATTTTAAGGGATCTTTTTTAGTTGTTAAACCATTAAACACTGAGAGAAAGAGAGAAAGGAAGAGATAACACAATTTAATAGACATAAAATAGTACTTTTGAACCAACAAGCTGATTCTATTAGCTGAAAAGATGCGATATTTTGGCATCGTGTGCAGTCTGCCCATAAAAAATTAAGGAAACTGGAGAACTGGACAAATAGAGGACAGAAGAAGTGGCAGGCCTAAAAAAGCCATAGCTTCATCAGCTATCGCTATAGCTGAAATTAAGATTATATGAAAGTTATGTTCTTCAGAAATAGGAAAAAGTGCAGCAAATACCTGACGTAGCACCCGTGAGAGGTGCTTGAGTTTAATCTTGATTAGAAATGTTCTCAGTTGAAGGGTGGCTGTCGTGAAGCCATTTTTT